AAGCGGCTTTCGTGACTCACTGACCTAGTGAATAACGCTCTGTTGTTTAAAGTGATCAGTCCTGAGTTCAAGTCATAGTAAAAACAACATTGCCCATTGGAGGCAGGCCATCTGGCTGACGGAACGTGCGTCCTGGATTCCACTGATAGCCACTATCATCAATTTGGCAGGTTTTCCAAAATATAACACTTCCTATTTTATATCAGACGGATGAAAGATGTGGATTTAAAGTAGATGATTATGTTTCTTATTTGTCACCATAATGTACGAATAGATGTCGATATCATCATCAGACTTCACATTCTGCTTCATCATCGTTCAGAGTTGATATGAATCTCTATGCCTAAACGTCAGAATTTTGTTTGTACAGAGGGTTCTCATTAGGGATTTATATTTACTGTAGGACCATTAAGAAGCCTTAGGCAACGGATAAACTGTTCGGTTCCGGGGTGGGAGACATTAGCTGTGGTAAGATATTTACCAAAAACTTGTTGTCCCTGGACTATATATTTTTCGGTCACATGAATATATTACTGGATCGGAACACAGAAGTTTCCCAGGTACCTAATATTTTCAGTAATCTATCCACAATGAAATTACCCATGAAGTTTCCAGTCCGTGTTGGTCAATAAATTAGTTTCCTTTTTCTTCTGATTACCAATAACTGTTGTTTACCTATAAATTATTACGTATGTGCAGTAAGTGGTGCATTATCCGAAGTCCGAGTCCAACATCATTGGTCTATACACTTAAATTTCAACCCAACTTCGCCAAATCAGGTCTGTGCAGGGGGGAAGTGTCATTATTTGCTACACAACATGCATGACTTACTACCTGATGCACAAACGTACTTATGGTTAATGAATGCATTTCATTTTGACTCCCACTGATTATTATTGTTAAACCAAGACTTTAAGTCAACTTGGAAATGAAGTTGAAGACCAAAAAAGTTGAAATTTATAATTCCTTTGAAGAATGAATATAAGAAATGCATTCACATGTTAGCACTGTGAAGATTCTTTCAGGTTCTTAAGTATGGGCTATAGGCTCTTGTGCATCACATTATGTAAAATGTGGTTTGTGCTTTGGTTATTGCTTTCGTTTGCTGGCTAACAGTGTAGATGAATTAAATGTGGGATAGTTTGATAAACTACGAATAACTGTTACACCAAAAACAATTTTGATGCTGGATGATATGATGCTTCTCCTCTCTAATTTAATTAGACTTGAACTGGGATGAGAACGTCCTGACCGGGAAGCCAGTGTGAGTATTATCAAGAAGTAGTAGCGTATCATGCATTCACATGGTAGTCAGTTAAAATCCTCAGTAACTGAAGTGATTTAAAAAGTCCTGGTCAGCATCCGGGCCTCGTAGCTCATTCATGAAAGCACCTGGTCGGAAACTCAGTCGTCGCTGGTTTGAATCCCACCATGATCCAAATTTTCATTTTACCTTCTATCATCACTCATTATCAATGCAAGGTTGCCGAACTATGGACATCCCAGATGGTCAACATGATAATAGTAATAGTAATAATATGACAACAATTGGATTAAACGAGTTAAAACTATTTACTTTCTAAAATGCAATATCCTCTCCTCAGTCCTTTGTTTTTTGCAATATTTTCTCTAGGAAAATCAATGCTTCACCTTTAACTGCTTAAAATTCATTTTAGTCTGTCAACTAATATTTAAAGCAAAATAATTTGGCAGAAATCACAAATATATTTGGAAGACTCAAAAGTCATTAGATTGATTCAAATCCCCTTCAGATTTATGTGAAGTTGTGGTTCACTGGTATGAACAATCAACCTTCAGCCCCGTGAACCACGAGTTTGAACCTTCCTCCACTTGATAAGGCTTTAGTACCCGAGCATTGTCATTAGCCGTTGTACAATAGTTGTGGTTCGCTATCTGGTGCACAAACGTGCTCATGTTCTCTCAGTTGCATTTTATTTTTTCATTTCTTTAAGATTGTCAGTAATGAAATTTCTTCATAATTTTCAGGCGTGATGTTTAATATCAGCTGCGCCTACCTTCATACAAATTTAACAGTCTTTGCGAGAGATTGTAGAACATCTATAAACAAAAGGACCTTGATAAATGCTAATTCATAACACTATCTTCGTAAAAAATGTGTAGGCATATCCAATCATACGCTTAATGTGAATAACCATTCAGTCTGGAGGTATGTGGGGATTTTTCGATTTCAAGTTGGTATATTTCACAGACTGACGTCAATCTAAGAACCAACGAAAACTTGGGGGCTCCTGACAACTGTTTCTTCCTACTAAGCGGGTTCTTCAGCAGTGCGCACCCTAATAAAGACATCTATTAAGCCCAGCAAATAATAAAAGGGGAGTTCAGGCTGTAGGAAACATTTAAGAACTCGAATCTCTTGAAACCAGTTTTTATTACTTTATTATTTATTACTTTGCAGATTATTTAAGTTTTCTGAGGCACAAAACTCAAGATTCCTTGGAGAATATAACATTCTTTAACGTAGTATTTTTGGGGATAATATTTAGAAAATCAAAAAAAGGATATTTCTTAATGTTTAGCTAGGAAAGTCACAGCTTTTTCAGCAACACATACAAATTTTCGCGGAAATCAAAATGCATATAAGCAAATAGTACATCAGATATTCAGTGAATGTCAGTCATTGGTTAACTGGGTTTCTGTCGAACCTGAGTAATTAAGATCAGTCATTACAGGTTCAAATTTGTTATTGTCATTTGTCAACGAAAATTTACGATAATCAAAGTGTTTTGTATATGTTTATATAAGTTACAGAATACGCGTTGCTTTTGTACATTTATTTATAAACCATAAATAATTGTTACTGTTAATGAAGCTAGAATCAGAAAAGGTAATCAATAATAGTTTTGTTAGACTAATCTTTGCTTAGCAGATGATAAATCCATTCCTTCTTTCCTATTTACAGCATCTGATGCTAAAATATGTAAGGCTTTGGATGTTAATCGTTCTTTATGCGAATGGAAACCTTTTACCCATACGTCTACATCATGAAAGTTAGTTGTATATCCACTTTCGACGCCCTACATAGCTACTGGTGGTAACTTTTCTAAATTTTCGAATTCATGTTGATTTCCTACATAACTTGTGTATACTCACCCTAACTTTTAAAGATCTACTGCCTTCGTTAACATAATTAGCTTCACAGTCCAAGCAATTCATTTGGCAGACACATCAGTTTAGGAATTGCATTTTGCACTTTGAATAAGATCTTTCCGAGTGAAGTTGAAGGTTTAAAAAAACTGTAATACCATGGGAAGTGCAGGCCCTTTTATTCTGTTCAAAAGTACCTTTCCGATATGTTATAGCTGTAGATGACTCCCATGATTCGGTTGTACCTTTATGTTTGTTAATAGTAGTATTTGCTTTTTCATCCAGTGAATCGATAATGTTTTTCATCGAAACCATTTTCTGTTAAAATATGTTTTATTCTGGAGATTACATTTCTCATATCACTAGGATCGATTATGATGTTTTCCACTCTGTTGAGTAGGTTAAGTGCGACCCTAAGTTTTTTATGTTAGTTGGACGATTCAATTGGGTAGACTTCCAGGATTTTGTCTCTTTTAATGAACTGTCTTTACCCCTTCTTTGAAGAATTTCCGTGCATTTGTTTCATCATTTTGGCGTGCACCACAAGACTAATACTTGAGATCATTATCTAAAATCAGAAATTATTTCAAGAAATCTGATATAAGACATGATCATGCTTGAAACTGTGCGCACTTTATGTAAAGTACATACCATATTCTGAGGTATGATTTAAATATTAGCAAAATACAGTGAAATATGGTTGACATGAGACAAAAATACAAGCCAGTATGAGTCAACAGTTGAATATGCAAATATATTTGCCATTGGTACATGCGATTCGCGCTAAGACGCTTCACTTGAGTCACATGGCAATCGATACCAAAGTTTTAGAGTTTTAACCATAATGGCGAATATCAGGCTTTTTTAACAAACTACTTTGGTTCTCAGAGTTTTGTTTAGCTTTCAGGGATAGTGTATGCAGAGCAGAAGGGGTGTAGTATCATTTAGCCATGTAAATATTAGCAAGCTTTTATGAATTTCAGATAAATCATAACCTTACAAAATGCAGAATCTACAACATGGGAGTAAACATAGCTGGTAGCATGATGTACAAGTAGATTGATGTAGAAACTGCGAATCGATTTACCACCTTATAAATTCCAGATGTAAACAACTTGAGATAATAACATCACGACTATTATTTGATTATCTCAGATGGCCGTAGTCTGGCAGACTAGTATCTATACTGAGTGATGACTGAAAGTGAAAGTAAAATTTGGACCCTAGCCGGACTCAAACTAGTGACTACCGAGTTTCCGGCCCGATGCTCTACAAACTGAGCTACGAGATCCGACTGCTGACCAGATTTTTATTTAACTTTAATCACCAAGGGTTTCGCCCGTCAAGAATTCACATGGCAGTCAGGCAAAACTCTTGGTTATTGAAGTGAAATAAAAATCTGGTCTGCAGTCGAACCTCTTAGCTCAGTTATTAGAGCATTGGGCCAGAGTCCAGGTGGTCGCTAGTTCGAATCCGGTCGCAGTCCAAATTTTAACCTCACCTTCCATTATCATCCAGTATAAACATTGTGACTAGTAGAATTCCTTTGAAAAATAACTTTGCCTGACAAATGTGCTGAGAGTAGGGATATGCTTCGGCCATTAGGTCATCATGTGGCGTACAAGATATTTTACATTTTCAATCTCTTATTAGTTCAGCTTTAAGTCAATTAAACGGTTTAAAATTTATGAAAAAAGTTTATTTCTCCATCTTTTTCTACACATTATATGTTATTCTCATCTTCAGATTATCACTTAGTATTACCGTTGTAATCATATCAGTGCGCCTTGCACAGCTTTGGAAATCCTCACTGAATCACGATGAATTTTCATGCAAACTTTATGCACTTTTTATTGATACTCTTTTCTCAGATTCGCCTCCGTATTCGGGTGTCTTGTTTTGAGTGTGCTATCTACAATCCATGAGTATACTGAATCCGCTGGACGAATTTTATTGTATATGGTAAGTATTAAAGCACTGAATTATTATTTCCTTTCTGTTGTCTAATTCCAAAGAAAAGAATTTATATTTTCTTGTATCCCATTTAAAGATAAACTTCTGGAAGTTTAACATTCACAACAAGTAGTTATCACCTTATTTTAAATAACAGATATAGAAAACTAAATTGTTGATAGTGGCTTGCAGTAAAATTCAGGACTCACATTTTGTTCTATGACCTAAAAACTGATATGAAAGACTTTTATACATCCAAATAAAGTTGGAATTTTATGGTTCAGAAAAAGTGGGTATTAGGCAAATGATATCTATTAATTGTTTATTGGCATTTCTCAGTGAATGGAAATAAAAGCTGTCTTGTTTTGTTTTTCATTCACTAAGAAAAATAAATAACAAATTTATGGACACAAAAGACAGTATCTTTGTTCGAAAACAAAACCAAAAGCAATACTGAAATTTCGCAAGCGTATTGTGAAACGGTTATGCTGATAGTGATCTCGTAAACATAATAATTGAACATGAGAATGAAAAATGGTTAAGTAATTATACAAACAAATAAAGTAGCATTCATGAGTTGAGGAGTCATTGAAAGCCTGGGAGAACTAGAAAGCTGTTTCGTCCTAATATGGGGCTACTCAGTAGTACGCATAACTGACCTTACCCTCCCCCCCCCAAGAGATCGAACCCAAGATTTTGTGGTTTCACGACAAACATGATGTGAATTCAGCCACTGGTCTGGAGTTCAGTGGTCCACAGGTTCCTACTTCTGTCAGTCCGTGATATAGTATGACTACCTATGAAGTCTGTAGCTGATATCCGCATCACTTCGAACTGGTTGATAAGTCATGTAACCTGAAGGTCCTGAGCTCAACTCTTATAGGAGTCATGAGTATCTACTGCTGAGAAGTTCTATACTAGAACGAAACGTCTGTCCAGTGCACCCCGGTTCTCAGTGGTTCTCCAACTGGTGCCACTCCGTGTTAAAAATTTGCTCTAAATTAAAATCCCCCAATATATATATATATATATATATCATTGTAGAACATTTGATAAAAAGGTAATACGGAAAGTGCACAGACTAGCTGAAGTGATTACTGTTTATTTTGTCTGCAAAATACGGAGAATGAAGTTAACAGTACATAATTTAGACAAAATGCAAGCAGCAAAACAAAATATTAAATTATTGTGCTAAATGCATTTACAATAAAGAAGACGTATATTGATTGTTCACCGAGGATCAACCGATTTCATTCTGTCTGTTGCTGTGTACTCATCAAATTATATCGATCATTTCAGACTCTGGCTACTAAGCTAAGTAGGGTATTAAGGAAAAAAAGGGGGAGTGAAAATAAGTCAGGTATTAGGATCTTATCATTCTCTGATTTCTTGAAGATCAGAAGGAATAGAAAATTCGAGGGTGTAAAAGGTTTGCATGTGAGTTAGCATGTAGTGTTATAGAATGGAAAAGAAATTAGTTGACCAACTTAAAACCCATTGAATTCAAGTATGACATGTAAGGGTAATGGACTGAAAAAAAAAGAGAATGTTATTTTCATGGATATTTATGGATAATTAGCTTCTCTATTTGTCATTTAACTGTTACACGTTTCTTTTGTGATCTACTTTGTCAAATCCAACATACTGACCTGTTTTTCGGATACTGCAGAGATGGTGCGTAATGTCAACATTTGTTCACCCTTTTCAAAAACACTGGTTGTTTTTAGTTAACAATTATATGATTACAGTTTTCTAATTTCTGTTTGGTTAAAAGCTTTAAGTTTTACTACTAGCGGTTAGCACAATCCGTTGTGACACCATCACATCTGATAAAAAGCATTTGCACTGTCAGAAAAGGTTACCTACATGAAAGCCTGATATTTATACCTCTTTTCCAACAATTAGTCGCAAGTCCTTCATATATTTTGTGAATTGCTAAAAAGTGGAGTATGGGATTGCAAAGCTAAGGGTAGTTTGCTTTACAAAACGGTCCATTTATTTTTTCTTACTTCAAAAAATTGTATGTCAAGTAGAAAAATTCGGAAGGATACGAAACATTTCATCACTTTTAGAGAGTATTTCTATTGTAGTCTTTCAGAGTCTTGAGGTGAATGTAAAAATTAAATACAACTCCTTCCATTTTGAATCATATATGTTAAAATAATGGATAGGTAGGTGCAGCTGCTTTTGAAAGAAAAGATGGCGGCCATGTATCATTATCATATGAATACCAAAGAGCAACACTACTGGCTACATTTGACAGATCACCTATGGTTACTGAAGAAAAGCTGATTTAGAAGTTTATCTGAGGATTTTGAAATCAAGGATTTGCATGATCTCGTTAAGTAATTCAGCTGCTACTGAAAATGTTTACAACTTTCAGTTGAAACTTGTAAACAAATATGAAATGTATAAAAAAGTAATTTACTTATTCATCGAAGTTCTATTTTTACCATCTGCAACTTAGCAGGAATTACGTTTTAAGATGTGAATGTTGCTATGAGTTCATTTCTAATGGTGTAGAGGACTATGGTATGACTCTATAGTCAAATGGTATGTGACTTCATTTCGAGATTTCCTAAAGCAGTTAGGCACATGCTGAATCAATGTCGGATGAAGTAAAGAGATTCGTGAAGGTCAAGTAGTTGAATATGTTGCTCATGACCTAACAATAAAAATGGAGTGAACTGTAGATACTAGTAGTTGAAAAATACTTAATCACTATCTTGAAAGACGTTAACATCCCTAAAGTGAGAAAAACGTCAGCTTCAAATATATGTTTTATACATAAATTTAGTACAATGGCTGCTTTAGTAGGCTTCTCATAGTCGAATGAAGTAATAAGAATCACAAGGGACTCTGCACTGCACTTACCTAGGAAGCAGAATCAGCCCTGGTAGAGCAAAGGCCGACGGGGTTTCTGCAAGGACACAAAACGGTTAGGTTAACCTTAAGCAACTTACGTCATCTCTGGTCCCGTTGCGATATCCGTTTGTCTATTATGGTGCTAGTGGACTGTACTTCAGTCCGCTCTTTTCTACTGTATCGCTGTTAGGAATGGGCATTAAAGGAAGAAGATTTGAGAAAGCCTCAGGTTTTTGATCACCGCGGTCTTCGTAGCATAGGCCGTGTAATGGAGGCGTAGAGTTTTATGCTGGGTAGGTAAGCCAGCCAATGCTGTTGTGAACCTTCATCAACCGAGATGTCTAGGACATGTGTTGCGTATACCTAGTTACCGTCTGTCTCATCATATAATGTTGGAAGAAGCAGGACTGGAAAAGGGTTCGGGGAGGCTAGACCAGAACATGGCATCAATGCATGGAGTACTTAGCTGTTGGTCTGAGCAAAGTGGGGCATTCCAGACTAGCTGGTTGGGGTCTGCGGTTTCACTGGTGCATATGCCTACACGTGTTATCCTTACATTAACAACTATACTTAATCTGATTGCCTTCTGATTCTTCCTCCTTCTCTCTAACTGCTTTCTAATTCCAATTCTGCTGACAGATTTTTCTTTCTTCATCTATTATGCTGCTTTGTTACTTGTTATGGTGATTTGAGGTCTGGCAACTTGGACAGTTACGCAGTAATACCTGGTCTTAAGTTGATGCGGATACTGATGATGAAGAAGTCTCTTCTGGATGTCTTGGAGTTAACAGCCACCAATATAATTATGTCCTCCTTCAATGAAGACAGAGATCATACCACATGCTAACTCCAACTTACTTGTTAAGCTATCTATCACTTACAGAAACAAGGTGTTACTTTCATAACCTTTGGTCTTAGTATATCATTTAATCCGTATGAGTCCTGTTTTATCAAAACGTCTCTACCTGATTTGAAAAGAAAAGGCTTTCCAGACAGGTGGACTGTGGGTTTTCCAATAGTAGAGTAAAACTGACTACATTAATTGACTAGGATTCAAAATAGAATGGTTTTAGTATTTCACAAGATAAAATATATTCAAAAAAAGAACCAGGCAAAGAGCAAAGCGAGACGCAAACTCACCGAATTCGTAATGTAGTGTTAGACTCTTAGAAAATCAGAATCGTTCATTTCGTCTATATAATTATAATAAACTACCAAAGTGGTGGACTAAAGATATTAGATTGTTTCCAGCGTAAATTTGATATCACAACGAAAATTAACTCCAACTTTATATTATTATAGTGACCTCAATTTCGAACTCGAATGTCATAATTCTTTTGTTACACAAACAAATCTGACTTTCGTACTCCTCTAAGAGCTTCATACATCTCTATGTATTGTAAACTATACAATCTTCGCTGATTCAGCTACCGTCTGCCAAAGTAAAACCAAGTTACTGAAAAGAAGGTGAGTGCGTTTGTATTTTCAACATTTTGAGCTTCAACATCAGAATCAAGGAATAAATTATTCGGGGTGACCATTAAGGTACATATTTTGGATACCAGATCTAGAAAATTAAATGTAAATTAAAAACAAACGCATTCGCGTTTAGGCTTAAAATATGATATGCATGATCATAGAACACAGTATAGAATAGCAGTCAACCCCCTACCTCAACTTCATCGACTTTGAAAAGGCCTTCGACAGCGTCGACCAACAAGTAATTTGCCAGGCAGCTGCTTTAACAATACGGTTTTGGTGTCACAAACCGTTATCGACCTCATTCAACAAATACATGAAGACACCACATGCTAAGTAATTCACAATAGGAAGCTCAGTGATGCCATTGAAGTTAAGACAGGAAGAAGTAAAACAAAGCTGCTGCCTAATATCACCGATGATCTTCCTGATTGTGATAGACTGTATCACACAACAACAGTGAAGAGCGAGAGGAGGGGAAAATATCCTAGAAGATTTAGATCTCGCCGATGACTTGTCTCTGACGTCAAACAAACTTGAAGGACTATAGGCGAAAACCAACAAGTTGACAGAAGAGGTTAGACAGCGAAGACTGGTCTTCAAGTGGACATAGAGAAGACAGAGGTGATGATGATACCCAACCGATGCCACCACCACCAACAACA